TATATTGATCTGTGTCGATTACCTACTGTTGTCCCTGATACGCGTCCCCTGATGTAGCTCGCATGTCTCATGCGGAAAAGTTTGGTGAATTTAAATATATCCGTTATCAATAGTTACTATTCAAAACGTGTGTGACGTTAGATGTAGCCAACACTTCACAGTATACATGAGTTATACAGTAGTGTGGCATTGCCGTGTTAATATAATCAGATAGATAAGCTATAAAGCTACATCGATGTTTTAAAAGACGACGGCTACCCACATCACACATAACAAATAGATTTTCTAGAGATCATTTTTACCATACGTTGTTTCCCATTGTTTATTACTTTCTGCTATAACCAAGTGTTTCGTGACTATAAAGTTAATGGGTTCGTCTTATCGACAGTTTGTAGATTAAAAATCTTCAGATAACACAACAGAGTATCGTGTTTAAATGACTGTTGCATTCAACTCCTTCAGTGACATATTTATACGCCGTGTCTGGTGGACAAATTCTTTCTCTCGAGTTTAAATTCAAGTATGTAAAAATGTAGAGGAAAGTGTTAAAAACAATCATCAAGTAAGAAATTAACTTTAAAACAATCATGATTGAAAGGAAAGGTCTCGCGCGGTGGAAACGTACCATAATCACGGAAACAGGATGGAAACGTACCATAATCACGGATACAGGCTGGAAATATACCATAATCACGGATACAGGCTGGAAACGTACCATAATCACGGATACAGGCTGGAAATGTACCATAATCACGGAAACAGGCCGGAAACATACCATAATCACGGATACAGGCTGGAAACGTACTATAATCACGGATACAGGCCGGAAACGTACCATAATCACGGATACAGGCTGGAAACGTACCATAATCACGGATACAGGCTGGAAATATACCATAATCACGGATACAGGCTGGAAATATACCATAATCACGGATACAGGCTGGAAACGTACCATAATCACGGATGCAGGCTGAAAACATACCATAATCACGGATACAGGCCGGAAACATACCATAATCACGGATACAGGCTGGAAACGTACTATAATCACGGATACAGGCTGGAAACGTACTATAATCACGGATACAGGCCGGAAACGTACCATAAACACGGATACAGAACAGAGAGAGAGAGAGAGAGAGAGAGAGAGAGAGAGAGAGAGAGAGAGAGAGAGAGAGAGAGAGAGAGAGAGAGAGAGAGAGAGAGAGAGAGAGAGAGAGAGAGAGAGAGAGAGAGAGAGAGAGAGAGAGAGAGAGAGAGAGAGAGAGAGAGAGAGAGAGAGAGAGAGAGAGAGAGAGAGAGAGAGAGAGAGAGAGAGAGAGAGAGAGAGAGAGAGAGAGAGAGAGAGAGAGAGAGAGAGAGAGAGAGATTAGCTTTTCCAGTGGAAACAGTTTGCTTTACTAAACAACAGTTCTTTACGTAGAAAATATCTTACCCGCTGTAAATGAATGACCGGAATTTTTGCCATTGATGTTGAACTTATGCCGTTTTAATGGACTTTACAAAGACATTCGGAGAAAGATCCGTAATACAAAACCAATAAAAAACTTGTGTTAGTTACAAACATACAATTGATGGACAGTTTCCGTAAAAACAGTCGTCACGGAATATAACTAATATGTAAAGACATTCCCTAACACACAGTATAATAACTGAAAAGGTTGAAATAGGGTGCAAACAAAGCCTATAAAAGCAGGACCTGTTCAGTGTTGATATCAATACAATGTTACACACATATATACATGTATGACACCTGCATTACTGTTACTATCGTCTCGTAGAGGAAAGTAGCTCTCTTAATGATAATATACCTACATTAAGGGGCATCTTCTGTTAGAGTTGCCTCCCTTATATGAAAGTGCCACGAACGTTGATGTGACTTGTATCCCAATTTTATTTGATAAAGTCGAGATACAACTACATTCACTGATACAAGAATGTTTAATATAGCAATATATATTTGTTTGAATAGAATATACTATGAATAATGTGTAATGTTTTGAATTTAAATTATTTACTTATGCAAATATTTCGTTACCGGAGGAGCTTGATAATGTATTTACCTCATTCTCGCGAGAATACATGTAGGACGGGATATAGTTCTGCATCCGTTGGTTTATTACCTTCATTATCACAAAATGTAATCGAAAACTTGTAAATCATAATTACTAAATGGTACATCATTAAATAATCCCCCTGTTAACAATGGAATATTACAAAGACGTGTATTAGGTTACCACTCCACGTGGATTATATCAATTATCTACTGAACTGTTAATAATGGACAGCTGTTTGGTTTGTAGACTCATCTGTCTTCAGAATGAGATGGTGCTAGAAAAGTGAAGAAGCATGGGCGTCCGTAAACAGTAGAAACATTACATAGGAACAATTCGGTGGTTGGGTGGGCGTATATAGATGTAGGGACACCTGCCCGACCATATGAATTTTCCTCGGATACTCTAGTTTCCTCAATAGAAAAAAATCTTGCACACTTCGACCCGTGTCAACAATTATGATTATTAAAAAATGAAAAAAAAAAAAAAAAAAAAAGAAAAAAAAACTATTGTAAATTAAAGTTTATTTACTTATAATCCACAACAGGTGAGTTGTTGTGAGCTTAAATAGTCACATAGATGCTGAATATACTATAACAAAGTGTATCTACCTGGCTAGAGATCATTACATCGGAAAACAGACATATAGTCAAATATTCTCTGATCTTACATAGTCACATACAGCAACAACAACTTGTAAATACTAAAACAAAGTGTATCTAGCTGGCTGGAGATCATAACTCCAGAAAACAGACATTACTTCTTTATCTCTTCCGTGCCATAAGGCCTCACATGGACTAGGTACTAGTATAGTGGGGAGCATACTATTCTAAAAAGAAAAGGAGATTCTTTCTTAACTTTAAAAAGCACAAAATACCTCGAATGACAGTTATTTTATGGAATGGTTTAGGGGTCATTTCTTGAGAAGCATTTGATTTGTTCTGAGGTAGCATTGAAATGGAATAAGAAAGCAACATGAACTGACTTGGTACCGACCACACGAAGAAAGCAACATGAACTGACTTGGTACCGACCACACGAAGAAAGCAACATGAACTGACTTGGTACCGACCACACGAAGAAAGCAACATGAACTGACTTGGTACCGACCACACGAAGAAAGCAACATGAACTGACTTGGTACCGACCACACGAAGAAAACAACAAGAACTGACTTGGTACCGACCACACGAAGAAAGCAACATGAACTGACTTGGTACCGACCACACGAAGAAAGCAACATGAACTGACTTGGTACCGACCACACGAAGAAAGCAACATGAACTGACTTGGTACCGACCACACGAAGAAAGCAACATGAACTGACTTCATACCGACCACACGAAGAAAACAACAAGAACTGACTTGGTACCGACCACACGAAGAAAACAACAAGAACTGACTTGGTACCGACCACACGAAGAAAGCAACATGAACTGACTTGGTACCGACCACACGAAGAAAGCAACATGAACTGACTTGGTACTGACCACACGAAGAAAGCATCAAGAACTGACTTGGTACCGACCACACGAAGAAAGCAACATGGACTGGCTTGGCACCGACCACACGAAGAAAGCAACGTGAGCTGTAGTCTGTACATTAAGAGGATCGCGAATTTTCTACATCATCTGATACATCATAACGTTTGTAACAGATTCATTTACAAACCATTATATGGATGGTCGCGTCATTGACTTTACTTAACGGTTAGTTAACTTTATTATAACACAGAGCTAATGTAACATGGCGCCATGATAACAGTAGCTTAGGAGACAAGTCCCTCTGGATAGTTTCTTTAAGGGACCCACATGTAGGTTTCTCCAAAGATTTTTGGTGTTTTAGTCGTGAAGAAGAGAGACGATATATTAACCTTTCTCGGTGTATTAGCTGGTACAGCAGCATGTCATCGTCTTTATACATGTAAATGTAAATAGTGCCAGGATTTCACGACACCAGCTAGCAGGCTCTAACCTGACCAGTGAGTAGAGAGTGTAAGACACTTGTCGTTCGTTACTATTAGATCGTTTTGGAGAAAGTGAAGTCATAATTTAACACAAAATGAATATTTACAACTGTGTATATATATATATAAATATGTATGTAAGTGGTATTTGTCTATCTACTGGTATAAAATATGTATGAGAGTGGTATTTGTCTATCTACTGGTATAAAATATGTATGTGAGCGGTATTTGTCTATCTACTGGTATAAAATATGTATGAGAGTGGTATTTGTCTATCTACTGGTATAAAATATGTATGTGAGTGGTATTTGTCTATCTACTTGTATAAAATATGTATGTGAGTGGTATTTGTCTATCTACTGGTATAAAATATGTATGTGAGTGGTATTTGTCTATCTACTGGTATAAAATATGTATGTGAGTGGTATTTGTCTATCTACTGGTATAAAATATGTATGTGAGTGGTATTTGTCTATCTACTGGTATAAAGACTTTCAGGATCGTTATACCATAGTCTAGGTCTACAACAGTTCAACTCCTAAGTCTAAGCTTAGTGTGGGATTGTTTCCATTAATTTTCGGACTAGTCGTCCACATTTCGGAATCGCCATCTGTGTGTTCATGAATTTATCACTAAATGAAATGACAGTAAATAAGCGACATAGATAACCCCTGGTGATCGCCGGGGTCACTCTCCGGACAAGCGTGAGGTCAGAAAATACGGTCTTCAATTTTCTGTCCAACGAGTATACATACCCCGCAGTGTGTATTTTTCTATTCGTTGTTTACTTGGATCATTTCAATGACAATTTAGACAAAGGATGATTGAAAAATTACAGCAAATAATGACATACATTTTTACCCAGTTCAAACAGAAAAATCAAGCAGTTTTAAACGTTTGTCGAATATTGACAGTCATGAAATATATGGCACCATTTTATGAATGGATAGAAAATTAATATGTTTACTCTTACTCACCAAAAGACTGGCAGTTTAATACATCGCCACTGTAACACAAACTCTGGTCACTTGTCTCAACAGCCCAAGGGGGCAGCAACGTACATGGCCGGCGTCTGGCTCAAACCATCTGCTGTAACACAAAATATCCTAACAATTAGCTACAAAACAATTCAATCCTGATCACTCTCACAATAACTGGAGCGTCTTATACTGGGGCGTCTTATACTAGAGCGTCTTATACTGGGGCGTCTTATACTGGGCGTCTTATACAGGGGCGTCTTATACTGGGGCGTCTTATACTGGAGCGTCTTATACAGGGGCGTCTTATACAGGGGCGTCTTATACAGGGGCGTCTTATACAGGGGCGTCTTATACTAGAGCGTCTTATACTGGGGCGTCTTATACTGGGGCGTCTTATACAGGGGCGTCTTATACAGGGGCGTCTTATACTGGGGCGTCTTATACTGGAGCGTCTGATACTGGGGCGTCTTATACTGGAGCGTCTTATACTGGGGCGTCTTATAACTATTTGGTATTATAACTGTCGCAGTATTACTAAATACGATTCTCCTTATTTGGGGAATGATATCATGAACACTGTCATCGACAGCGTCTTAGGGCTCACTAAATCCTTGCTTTCTCTTGAGAACAAAAAAAGCGATAAGTTTCAGAGGATGAACAAAAGTCAATCATTCACTCTAAGATGATGGCCTTGTTCTTGACAACCAAATTACAGAGACTTTTGTAGCTTACGGCATACTCCTCTTCTGATAAAAGTCGATTTATTTCAGCACCACGTTCCTCACACACAGTAGTGTAGAATAGATTTTAAGACAATTTTACTTCCTCGAATCGTAATGACAATCTGCCTCTGGTGTCGACAATGACAGTCGTTTGTCGCCATTGTAATTAAACATAACACCTCGAGTGAGGATTTGGGAGAACGGATGTTAGGTTATGAGTTTAGTTCGAACGTAAAGTGACAAGTTGATACTAAGGAATATACAAAGTGGTACTTAGAACATCAAGTCTCATGCCTAACTGACTGTTATGTACAACAGTTCTCTAAACGTCTCCAGAAAAAAGACAACTAATTTTAGCAGCATGAAAACGTTTTTGATCAAATGTAATTGCGATTCACCCAGAGGAACACTAACAACACAGTACTATACTAGAAGTTAAATGTAGATTGGTATTCAGTATTAGACAGAAAGTTACACTATGTAAAATCAGAAAGGACAGTGATCTCTTCGGTATAGAAAACAGTGATATACTTAGAAACATCGGGTCGACTATTCCTTAAACCACAGGTGGGGTAAGTCGGCTTTGTTCGCCATCTTGGTTAAAGTAGCGATTTGTGTTTATTTTGCTTTATACATGTAGCAATGTAAAGATGCGAAACCTTTTCAGTGTAGCACAGATAGTGTTGTGGAATCATTTCCCTCTAGCACAAGTAGTGACGGGGAATCATTTCAGTGTAGCACAGGTAGTGACGGGGAATCATTTCAGTGTAGCACAGGTAGTGATGGGGAATCATTTCAGTGTAGCACAGGTAGTGACGGGGAATCATATCAGTGTAGCACAGGTAGTGACAGGGAATCATTTCAGTGTAGCACAGGTAGTGACGGGGAATCATTTCAGTGTAGCACAGGTAGTGACGGGGAATCATTTCAGTGTAGCACAGGTAGTGATGGGGAATCATTTCAGTGTAGCACAGGTAGTGACGGAATCATTTCAGTGTAGCACAGGTAGTGATGGGGAATCATTTCAGTGTAGCACAGGTAGTGACGGAATCATTTCAGTGTAGCACAGGTAGTGATGGGGAATCATTTCAGTGTAGCACAGGTAGTGACGGGGAATCATTTCAGTGTAGCACAGGTAGTGATGGGGAATCATTTCAGTGTAGCACAGGTAGTGACGGAATCATTTCAGTGTAGGACAGGTAGTGACGGGGAATCATTTCAGTGTAGCACAGGTAGTGACGGGGAATCATTTCAGTGTAGCACAGGTAGTGACGGAATCATTTCAGTGTAGCACAGGTAGTGATGGGGAATCATATCAGTGTAGCACAGGTAGTGATGGGGAATCATTTCAGTGTAGCACAGGTAGTGACGGGGAATCATTTCAGTGTAGCACAGGTAGTGACGGGGAATCATTTCAGTGTAGCACAGGTAGTGACGGAATCATTTCAGTGTAGCACAGGTAGTGACGGGGAATCATTTCAGTGTAGCACAGGTAGTAGCACAGGTAGTGACGGAATCATTTCAGTGTAGCACAGGTAGTGACGGGGAATCATTTCAGTGTAGCACAGGTAGTGACGGAATCATTTCAGTGTAGCACAGGTAGTGACGGGGAATCATTTCAGTGTAGCACAGGTAGTGACGGGGAATCATTTCAGTGTAGCACAGGTAGTGACGGGGAATCATTTCAGTGTAGCACAGGTAGTGACGGGGAATCATTTCAGTGTAGCACAGGTAGTGACGGAATCATTTCAGTGTAGCACAGGTAGTGACGGGGAATCATTTCAGTGTAGCACAGGTAGTGACGGAATCATTTCAGTGTAGCACAGGGGGAATCATATCAGTGTAGCACAGGTAGCGACGGAATCATTTCAGTGTAGCACAGGTAGCGACGGAATCATTTCAGTGTAGCACAGCTAGCGGTACATTTTGACCGGGAACATTTAATGCAGCGTTGTGATTTGCTTTGGAACTATTCCAGCGAATTAAGTTCATTTGAGTTATTTTCTTTTAATGATTTTGATACGATTACACATTGTTAAGATTCTCCAATAAAAACAGGATACAGAAATAATCTACAATTACTAGAATTTAAAAAAAGATATTTACACTCCACGTGCTTCAAACTCGATGAGTCTTAATTAATTTTATAATCTTAAATCAATAATTTCTATTTGTTTCCAAACTATTTGCCACCAAATTTATCTCCGAGTATCTTCATGTCGTCCATCAATATTCCATCAACGGCTGCATCAGTGAAGCTGGCTGGTGAGGACACGTCGTGAATCTGTGGTAGTGGTATTCCTTCGGGTCCATAGCCGTTGTATGTGTTCACAAGACCATCAGTGTAAAATACTATCAACACCACTATATCGTATTACTAATAAATAAGACAAAGCTCGTGCGCTGTTACGTCACGAGATCGACGCTTGCTTGGATTTCGTGTTAATTAATGCAAATTCTCCTTCGTGTAAAACATACCAGTGCATGTCATTTTCCAATATAATTCCTTATATAGATGTGTTTTTCTTCTGCCTTTACCTCTATATATAAACTACACGTGCAGTAACATGACTTGTATAAATCTTTAGTGTCGATATTTATATCAACCACTCATTCCTAAGTATAAGTTACTTTATAATGTTAAACTTAATGTATATTTGATGTGAATATATAGAACGAAATATAAGATAGTTATATTTGTAAGAATGTTTCACAAATGAATAATTTGATTTTAAATAGCTGAATGACGTGAACAGATAAGTATTGCTACAGGTAATTAAACCATATATGTGCACGTGATAAGTCTTTATTGAATCTACTGAGAATTACGGGATTTGTGACTTATTTTTCTGAAGGAAGACGCCATTGTTTTAAATATCAAGATACCGGTTACCTTGATCAAAAAGTACCTCCGAGAATTCATAATTTTATAATCACTTTATTTCAGTGTGCCTCGATCTTTGTCTAGAACAGGGTTAACACAATGCGGTTACTGATGTCCGTACAAGGCGTGATGATAAGTGTATACGCCAGTGTTGTAAACATGTATCAATATTAATCAGTAGGTAGCCGTTATTGTTGTGACTGCTGGCGAGCAGATTTAAGAAGGGTTTGGAGAGAACAAGAAATATGAAGACTATGAAAATGTTGAGAGTCGATCTAAGATTTCTATTGAAATATCGTCTGGCTTTGAGCGGTATGAAAATTGACTTTTTCTGCAGATTTCGGTGTTTTTGTTTAGTTATTTCTGTTGTCACGGATAATATACTATGTAATCTGGATTTGTCGTGAGAATAACATGACGGGTTTCTTTTATAAAGCTAAGACATTTTCATCAGCGATCATAGACGTACATATATATATGTTTGTACTTAACCACTCAATTGATCGCGAGTGGGAAGGATGGTTGTTGTATAAAGATACAGTATTTTATCAGTTGAATAATGAATTTATCTTTGATATTTGTTCGTGTTCGGAATTATACAGTGATGCGTTAGCCCCCAGGGGTAAATTGTTATTTTAGAGGTTCATGTACCTGTAGTGCAGTGGATGGTCTCAGTGTTTCACTGTTTCAGGAAACCTCATCGTACTTGCATGTGTTTTGTCTGCAACTTTCAAAGGTAAATGAAATAAGGAATGCATTGGGATATATGATCAGATACATTGTGAGCAATACAAGAATACATTTCCTAAATTATATTGGAGCTCTGAGGAAGTGCAAAGGGTGCAGTGTTGCTTGTTCTATCAAAGAGCGCCTGCATATTTTATTACTCTAAATGGATTAGAATGCGATAGATAGAATTTTTATCCGTGTAATAGAAGGAAAGTTTCATCATATAAACAGTTTAACAATTTTTATTCGTGAAATAGGAGAAATGCTTCATCACATAAACAGTTTAACACCATGTATCCGTGTTAGGATAGATGACGAGTTTAAATGCGGTTCTCGATTTCTGAACAGGTGCTCTGACAAATTAAAGCGTATTTAAAGATAACTGAAGGTTCATGAGATGGATTTCACTTCTCTTTCTCGCAGTGGGGTTAGTTACAGACATTTAGGATACTTATCCTTACAGTCAGTTACAACTTTGGCCGAAGCGTTTGTATATAATATGACTAGAATTGATTTTAGAATTTTCTGCGTTCACCAACTTTCTCAAAGGACTATATCTTCCGTCAATTCCACATGTGCGTGACTACAGCGGCAGAACTGTATATATATATCGTACAACTTGAAATAAAGTTTTACTTAATCACGAAATCTGTAATCCAGATGATTGCGATATATTTAAACAACGGCTAGGTGTGTCGCAGTCGGA